AATGAATAAAATATTGTAATGCGCTCCCTCACGTCGAAAATATACAGGTGGAATCCTGTCAATTCGAACCTCAAACTGCCAGAGAACAACTGTTATTATCCGGACACACCAATTATCCAAACATGTACCCACAACACAATTATGTACAATGTATAAAATGCTCGCATTGTCATACAGAGTTGCGCTACGCACCTTAGACACAGATTTATAAGTAGTGGGCACAGAACTGCCTGTGCATGCAAGCCAAACAGACTTGTAGAAAATATAGTGAACTTTGAATTATTCTTTGCTAACTTCGAATGATTACGACAAATCCCATATATTGTTCTATGTAAGTGGCGTCCGTGGAACTTCTAACACAGTAGAGAGGCTAAGATACACATTTTTTATTACTTTTTTTTAAAGTGGGGTTAAAATCTCACGTTACCTGTAAATTATATTAGAGGTTTAAGTTGCACGTGCGACGTGACGTGAAATATTGCCATGGCTAGATTCGGTGTTGTGAAACCACAAGTTCTCGAGAGTGAAAGGCCTTCTCGCTTGTGACATTGTGTTCGTTCCAATGCAGCTGTATCCCGACTCCGCCGTACCGCTGATGTTTACGACGTAGTATACGCTACATGCGCTATGTGCGGTTTGCTGTGTGCGCTGTAGTTGTATGTTGTATGTGTATGCTTTTCTCATATACGCTGTCATTTTCACGCTATAACTACCTGGTGGTTTTAGTGTTAGTTGTTTCAGTTGTTCATTCAGTCATTCATTGTTCATTGTTATTAGTCGATGGAAGTGAAATATACTGTTGAGAATAAATAGTTGTCCTCGTGCCGTGTGGGGTCGTTCGTTCCTGATACTTAAGAGAACCAGAGGGTTCACAACATTCGGGTTGAGTTCGAACAGCAGCATTTTCTCAACACACAAGTTTCAAATCTTACAACAAACTCGATAAAACTATGGATACTCAGACCAATCCGATCGGGATGATCAAACAAAACTTCCAAAAACCCAAGTCACGTGTCTACGCGTGCTACAGTCAACTCACGTATATTAAACACGTCAAATCTTTTTTCACGTAACAAAACGTTTTATTGCGGACAACACGCCAAATTTTACGTGAATGTTTTTGAAATTTGACGTAAAAGTTCACGGACGTAAGACTTTGCCTAAAACGTATAGGGTATTCACACGACAGGCAAATCCACGTGCACCGGAAAGTAATTAGTTGCTATGGTTTTTTACCTATGAACGAGAAAAGTGGCTGAAAGTGGCTGAAAAGTGCAAGCGAGCTGGGGGCCCACTTTCACGATAATCGTGGCATGCACGAGTACATTTACACCTTCTGCTCAGCCTCGGATGCACTGTGCGATGCTCTGGTTACCTGTGCCAGGCAAATAGCTACCAAGTATGTGGACCCCATCTCACTGGAAGCTTATGTGGCTTGCCATCTAGTGCCTTTGGACAAGCAGCAAGGTGTTCGGCCTATCGGGATCGGAGAAGTTGTCCGTCGCATTCTGGTCAAATCCATACTCCAGATTGTTGGCTCGGCAGAAGAGAGTTTTTTTTGGCTACGCAGTTTTTATCACTGGTTTGTTGACAATGCAACACAATTATTGTGGAAAGGTCACAACAATAAGAGACAAGATCAAAAGGAAAGCTTTACAATAATAACAAGGGTACTCTTGATATTAACTGGTTTGAGGGAAAGAGACAAACGGGAAAAGTCTGAAGAAAACATTGACTGCCACCACCAGGACTCGAACCAGGGACCCTCGCTTGTAGCCAGCGATGCTCTAACCACCGAGCTATGGTGTAGTCGTCATCCCAGCAGAGGCCGTTCAACATTTTCTCCAGACTCCGTAACTCACACTTCCTGTGAATCCACACAGGCGGGTGGGACGCAGCCCTCACTGTAACCCACACACTTCACGTACAAACTAGCACGCGGGGAGCCCCAAATCATAAAATATTAACTGGTTTGAGGGAAAGTACTCTTGATAATAATAATAATAATAATAATAATAATATTAACTGGTTTGAGGGAAAGAGACAAACGGGAAAAGTCTGAAGAAAAAATTGACTGCCACCACCAGGACAATAATAATAATAATAATAATAATAATAATAATAATAATGTGGAAGAGAAAAAGACATATGGATACGAGTTAAGAGTAACTCTCCATCACTGTAACATGATACTATATACAGTCAGAAAGTGCAATAACTAGGCACAAAACTGACAGAGTACTGAAACATTCGACGTCCTGACACCTAGCTTTAACACATTTTCGTAGCGCTAACCGACAGCCTTCCAACTTGGAAGGTTCAAGGTTATGGAAAAGACCAAAGAGGGGAAGGCAAGCGCAACGAAAACGAGCAAAAGCCACAGTCCCAACGGAACAAAGAATGTCGATTGTTACTGGACGATGACGAGACCAGTACGATATTTGACAAAGCGGTCTAACTACAATTCGAAGCAGCAAAGCAGCACACCACCCAACTTGGGTGGGTCATAATTATCAAAGATAAGTAAAGAAAGGGAAGCTTTGCGAAAACGAATTGTACAAGCCGAAAGCCAAACTCCTACAGTACTCCTCATGCATGACATTGTGATGGACTAGTTGACTACAAAACAAGTTGTTTCACACGACGTACGTTTCGCCGTATGGTTCGTGACGGCTCATCAGGTGTGCAATTTGAAACTCGGATGTTGAGCCATAAATATATGTGGAAGAGAAAAAGACATATGGATACGAGTTAAGAGTAACTCTCCATCACTGTAACATGATACTGTATATAGTATCATGTTACAGTGATGGAGAGTTACTCTTAACTCGTATCCATATGTCTTTTTCTCTTCCACATTTATTTATGGCTCAACATCCGAGTTTCAAATAATAATAATAATAATAATAATAATAAAACGTAGCCTGTAAAATGTAAAAAGTCACTGAGTACAGTTTTTAAAATGCAATATCCATGTCCAGTATTTATAATCGGCAGTAGAGAGTGCTGTTGGCTGTCTGCAGTTATGCGGTGGGCAAGAGTGCGACGTGAAAGCCGCCATTCATGCAGTGAAGACCACCTTTGATGATGACTACACGGAGGGAGTCCTGTTCGCGGATGCAATGAACGCAATCAATCACCTAAATAGAGCTGTTTGCCTGCGCAATGTTAAGGGGGCAGCCTACCCATAAATTTCATATGGCATTCAATTGACCGTAACTTTGGTGTTTCTCAATGGATTTGAGTGAAATTTTGACCACACACTCCTGCCACTATGCTGGCCCTCAGGACATGATTTACAAGTTCTTGCGCCTCACTGACAGGCTTTCCAGGCCGGAAAAACTCAAATTTCCGGCATAGTGCCACGGTGTGCGAGCCACCCAGGAGCCAAACAAATGCATTTACAATTTTTTCACATTTTCGTGCTCATTCTGTTCGTGCGCGGGACTCAAACCTAGAACAAGTCCAGAAGCAGCCATGGGTGATGGGGTAGGGCCCCTCAACGAGGCCCTGGAATCTGTCACAACGGAACGAGTGGGCGTTCTCTCACACACTCCCACAGACCCAAGTCAATTTTTGAATTTTTTTAGGTTTAGCACGTGCTACGAGGTCGTACCTTTGATACAACATCCAGTGCTGGGACCTCCACAGCAAGCCATTTCCACAGCGCTGCACACCAAATCCAGGATACACTCAGAAACCGGCAAAGACTACCACCAAGAGTACATAACGGGGGGGTTATGTACTCTTGCTACCACTCACGTTTCACTACTGCCTAGTACTGAATCCTACCTGACTTCTTGACACGACTCAAACTTGCCAAAGTCACTAAATCAACGTCAACTACAATAATCACGCCACATATCTGCAACGTCACGAGGATGCTGGCAAAAGTCCTGCTGCACGGCGGCGGGCGAAGCCCGCCGCCGTGCAGCCCAATACGTGGCTCAAAAACCTGATTTTTTGGACTTGGAGCAACAAATGACAGCGTGCAACAAAAAAATCTTTCCGTGCAAGGGCACATTTTCGGCCATAACTCTTGAACGGCCGGTCAGATCGGGACACAATTTTCAGAGAATTTGCAGCTATTCATGCTCTTTCAACTGACGGAGCACTCAATATGAATTTACAAATTCGATTTTTCAGCGAATTTTTGGGTAGTCTGCCACCTTAAGCGGCTATGTCCTAAGCTCGCGCCAGCTATCATCAACACCTACCGCTCACCAGCTCACCTGTATGTTGGAGGAAAGAATTGTTCGCCACAACCGGGGCTAACAGCCGGACGGACGGCTATCGGTATCTTGGTGCTGCCCTTGGCTCTGCCCTGTTCTGCGACGGTTACGTGTCCCAGAAGGTTGACACATGGTGCACAGAGCTGCAGACCCTCGCCAAACATGCGGCGTCTCAACCTCAGGCTGCTTACCCTGTCCTTACTCATGGTCTCCGCCATAAATGGCATTCCTTGCGAGGACAATGCCAGCCATCGCGGACCTCCTGACACTGCTGGAAAACTCCATCAGGCAAGCTTCCTCCCTGCACTGACTAGTCGCCAGGCCCCCGGCGAGGAAGAATGTGCCATCCTGGCGCTCCCGGTCACGATGGCTTTTGTACGGGCGAAGATCTCCTTTTACCTTGTTCAGGCAATGGTTGCCAGTCTACGTGGTCACCGTCGGAACCCGTCTCGACATCTGTCTGGGTCAGCTGTGCTGGCGGCTGCTGAATGTGCCCTGGTGCCATAAACGGTGTACATTATACATGTGCTTGTACAGTTTCTATGGTAATGGTGTTCCCATGGTAATGAGATTCATTTACTTTGGTATTTTCAGTTCGTTTTGTTTGTATTTAGCTCCTCATTGATTTTATACCAGGTGTGGGCCATCCCCTGATTTCATAGGTGCCAAACATTTTACGTTTTTCATTCACAATCATGCTTTTTTTTTACCAGGCGTGGGCCATCCCCTGATTTCATAGGTGCCAAACATTTGCACCTCCCGCCAATCATGTTTGGCGGAATACAAGTCCCCGAGGCAAACTCGATCACCCTCCTAGGCGTCCTCTTTGACCAGAAGCTGTCTTTTGGGGAGCACCTCCGGTCTGTTGCAACCCGGGCAAGGCAGCGACTTGGTCTTTTGCGCCGGTCAGCTCATCTTCTCCCTCTGGCTGGGCGCATAACAGTGTACAAAGCATTCGTCCGTCCGCTGCTGGAGTACGCCCCACTTATCTGGATTGGAGCGTCATCCAGCCACCTCAGCCGACTGGACCGAGTCCAGCACAGGGCCCTCGGAATCATCGGTCCGGGAGCAATCCTGCCTAGTCTGGCAATCAGACGGACAGTAGCTGCCCTAGCTTGTTTATACAAGCTACAAGTAATTACGGGCCCACCTCAACTTCTCGCGGTTCTGCCAGCTCGCCGTCAGCAGTCGGCCAACCCGCGAACCCGGAGCGACCATGCCAGCGCTGCTGGCCACCGGTTTCAACTGGACGCCAGCCTGCCAGCCTCTACCCCGTTAGTCCTGAAGCGATCATTTCCCCACTGTGTGCTCCACCAGTGGAATGCATTGCCCTGTGATCTGCTCCTGCATCCTCCCCATCGCAGCCGAATGCAGGCATTCAAGACGCAGGTATACCGCTACCTGCGCGCCGAGAACTGGATGTGGGCTACTGACTCAGTCTAAACTCAGTATCTACATGTAGGTATTGCTCTCTTTTTCCTTGTTTTCTCTACTCTCTGTCTCTCTGTCTCTGTCTCTGTCTCTGTCTCTCTCTCTCTCTCTCTCTCTCTCTCTCTCTCTTTTTTTTTTTCTGTCTCTCTCTCTCTGTCTCTCTCTCTCTGTCTCTCTCTCTCTCTCCGCCTCTCTCTCTCCGTCTCTCTCTCTCTCTCTCTCTCTCTCTCTCTCTCTCTCTCTCTCTCTCTCTCTCTCTCTCTCTCTCTCTCCGTCTCTCTCTCTCTCCGTCTCTCTCTCTCTCTCTCTCTCTCTCTCTCTCTCTCTCTCTCTCTCTCTCCACACTATACTTTTCGCTATATATATTTTTCAATCGTTTTTGTTTCTCTTCTTCTCCCGATTTTCTGATGCGTGAAGTAGGCGCGGATGCCGAGACCATTGGTCGGCGGAGCCTGCAGCACCTCATCACCACCGCTGCGTTGCATTTGCAGCCCCATTCAGTCAATGTCTTGTTAGTCTGTTGTTTTGTCATTTCCTGCTTCTTTCTTCTTTTACGAATTGGGTGCGTGGTTTCAAGTAAAAAAAAAAAAAAAATTACACCAAAGAGCGCGAAACAAGACTTGATTTTTACGCGGCTCTTTTTAGAGCATGATGAGCGTGTTTTGAAAATTTGAAATACCCATGGCTTCTGGTCGGTAAAGCATTCAAAAATGCAAATGTTCCTGTGGTCGAGTGCAGCTGTGTGAATCCAAACAGTCACTTAAGTCTTTTCTCGTACATGTATATCACTCCCTGTAAAATGTGCTAGTGCCTGTCGTGTGAATTGCCTCCCTTAACATGCTTTAAGTTGCAGCCTGTGGGCACGGTGACCAGGTGACTGGTAAACGCATCAGCACATTGCCGCGTACTCAACCGTGTTCGATGGGGGGAAATGGGTCGGACGCTGCATCGCAGCCTTCTCGGACCAAAACCAGTCGACTCAGAGTCGAAAAGAATACAACATATGGGCCAATGAAACTCTGAGTAACAACGAAACAGCCCTACAGTCGACTCCTGATATAACGAACCCCATTGTGAAGAAGAATTAGTTCTTTATAGCCGAAGTCCGTTATAACAGAAATGCACTCACACTATACAGCTAATTACTTACAGCAAGTCATGGCTGGCAAGTGGCGCATGACAGTATGAGCGCACTTGGTTTACATGTGACCCTACAAGATTTGAAAAAACTGTTGAACGGTATCTTTCGGCTGTTTTGATAGGCGAAACAGCTGTCAGAAGGAAATGTTTTACCCGTGACCCCTTCGTTGTTTGAAGTTATTGGTGTGAGTAATGGCTACCGAGGGTAGCAATGGTCGGCTTTAGAGCGCATGGAGGAGGAGAGTTAGTTTCCTACAAGATTTGGTTCGTTATAAACGAAAACTAAAAAAAAATGAAGTTGAAGACACCATTGCAGCTGTACTTATGGTTGATAAATATGGTGGTAAAGACACACCCGGCAATATGGCGGTAAACACACGCCCGAAGGAGAGCTCTGTGCTAGAACTTTGCAGCCTAGAGAGCGTGTGTGGGCAGGCGTGTGTTTACCGCCATATTGCTGGGTGTGTCTTTACCACCATATTTATCAACCATAAACGAAAACTGTTCGCTATATGGGGTCGATGGGTTCAAACAGGGACAAGGACAATGGTTCGCTATATCACGAAATTCGCTATAATTATATGAGTTCGTTATAAGTGGAGTCGACTGTATTTTATTTTCCTTTTGTGTACCTCTTGCGTATGGGCCGATCACGTTCATCCGTGCGTTTACAAGAACGAAATGGCGCTTTTAGTGACATTTTCCATATAAATCTCCATCTGGTGGGCACAGTCACCCAGTTTCAGTGAAAGTGGCGAGTTCAATGGGAATAAAGGAAGAAGAGAGCGTCTGAGCTTCCTCGGACCAATGTAGTATCCCTGCCCGACCAATACGGAAGTAGTACGGAACTAATTATTTATAGTACGGAGCTTTGCCTGATGTTTAGTTAGTGTATCTCCGTATGTAAGCGTACGGCGTCTGCTGCATAAAAGCTGCTGCGCATTTCTGTTAACTTATCTTTGATATTTTTGACCCACCCAAGTTGGGTGGTGTGCTGCTTTGCTGCTTCGAATTGTAGTTAGACCGCTTTGTCAAATCGGCTCCCAAGATAACACAGAGCCACTTCGATACTTTGTATTGCGGTGAAGCCACCATCGATAATATGGGGCGCAGAGGACAATTCGCGCGTTGTGGACAATACCAACAGAAAGAAGTTCGAGCAGGATCATGAGTCAGTGAGTGAAGCGGAGCTGGAGGAACAACTCCGCTCACGGGACGAGCAGCTAGCAAATGGGAGACAAGTGGTCTGTACAGAAACGGAGGATGAGACAGGTGATCAGAGGATAGAAGAGCAAGAAGAGCAATTGGATGACGAAACGGTTGGTGAGGAGACAGAGGACGAGGCAGAGGATGGTAGTGATGATGATCGTGAGGATGACGAGCGGAACGAGGAAGAGAGTGATGAGATGGACGAGGAGGAGTCGGGTGGGAAGGAGCGAGATGAGGCGGATGAATGTGTTGATCGTAAGAAGTCAGCTGTGTATCTACACTTGTTATCTCGTCCTGACTGTCTTAGTGTGTATGATGACTCTCATTTTTCTGTACTGTGTCGTGCGCGTTATGTCCAACAGTTGAAAGTCCTTGAGGCAGTCTGTATACGTATTCATAAGCCTGTTTTGTGTAAGCAGAAGGAGCACGTTGTTGCACTGAAGTTGTATTCGTAGGTTGACACTTCATTTAGCGCCTTCTCGCCTTTGGTTACGTAATCTTGTTACCTTTTTGCGTTTCCTCTAGTGGTTTTATTGCACTTGTATTTTGTTGTTATTTCTAACACATTTCTATTTACAGTACTTAAATTCAGTTTCTTTGGTTGTATCCTTAGTTCCGTATTTTTTCCCACTGATGATAGGAACAAGAAAATCGATTATGGGTTTTCAATAATATTTTTGTTATAAAATACACAGTAAATACATGTCGAACAAGTAATGTAGTTGCGTGATGTCTGCGGCCTTCATCCTATTCATAGCTGTATTTTATTTAGTAATGTTTTATGTATGAGAACACAGAGGTGGTACTTATGTCGAGTGGAAAGGGGACTAATCTTGGCAATTTCGTAAAGACTAGCGGAGGGAAAGCGACGATCTTTGCTAAATAAGATTTTAAGGAGCATGCGGTTATGGGTTTCTAGCTTGTTCAATACAGTAGTAGTTATGCCAGACCAAGCAGTATCACAGTAGTCAAGTAAGGGCAATATATAGCAACGATAAAACAAGCGTTTGCAAGAAAGAGGAAGATTTCTCCTAACCAAGCACAGAAGAAACGGGCCTATCTACAACGTGTGATTGATGTTGAGCGAGGCACCTTCACACCTTTGGTTTTCGCGACCAATGGTATGTGCGCTTCCGAATGTTCCCGTGCTCTAAAGAACATTGTTCAGCTCATTGTCGAGAAGCAGCCAGAGCTTAGTTATGCAATGGTAATGTCGCATTTGCGCTGCAGGATCTCTTTTATTTTGCTCCGCTGGCTGCTCCGCTGGCTGATTACCTGCTTTCGTGGGTGCAGAGCTTCATACTGCCGAAAGCGTGTAGCAATTTCATTCCTGGACCAATGCCGTTTGCTCCAGTTGTGAGTGGGAATATAATTATAAGGTCCTCCATGTGCTGTGCACGGAGGCCTTCGGTTAATTTCAATATCTTCCTTTTTGGCCGGCTTTCCAAGTTGCGCTATTGTGAATAATGATCTGCTTTGATAGTAGTGACTGCTAATAATTGCCTGGATTTGACTCGAGTTTGGATTTTTCTTCAATCATCTTTCCGATCACATTACCATGGATTTTCAATAAAGTTCTTTGACTACTACTACTACTACTACTACTACTACTACTACTACTACTACTACTACTACTACTACTACTACTACTACTACTACTACTACTACTACTACTACTACTACTACTACTACTACTACTACTACTACTACTACTACTACTACTACTACTACTACTACTACTACTACTACTACTACTACTACTACTACTACTTGACACAATCTTTATTAGGAAACTTGAAATGGAGATGTGAAACACAAATACAGCCATGTAGATGGAGCAGCAATGCAATACAATGTCCAAAAACTCAAGAATTCATTATCATGGGGCAATGTTGGGCAAATGTCTGTCAGGTACTATCACGCTCAGGCTGCCCGCAACCTGCACATCGTCGTGAAATTCATCCTACTACTACTACTACTACTACTACTACTACTACTACTACTACTACTACTACTACTACTACTACTACTACTACTACTACTACTACTACTACTACTACTACTACTACTACTACTACTACTACTACTACTACTACTACTACTACTACTACTACTACTACTACTACTACTACTACTACTACTACTACTACTACTACTACTACTACTACTACTACTACTACTACTACTACTACTACTACTACTACTACTACTACTACTACTACTACTACTACTACTACTACTACTACTACTACTACTACTACTACTACTACTACTACTACTACTACTACTACTACTACTACTACTACTACTACTACTACTACTACTACTACTACTACTACTACTACTACTACTACTACTACTACTACTACTACTACTACTACTACTACTACTACTACTACTACTACTACTACTACTACTACTACTACTACTACTACTACTACTACTACTACTACTACTACTACTACTACTACTACTACTACTACTACTACTACTCGATGTCGAGAGGGGGTCATTCACTCCGCTCGTATTCTCGACAAACGGCGTATGTGGCACGGAGTGCTCTCGTGCATTGAAGAACATTGTTCAGCTGGTGGTAAACAAGCATAGTGACCTCCAGTTTGCTGTTGTGATGGCACAGCTACGCTGCAAAATTGCATTTGTTT